CACTCTCCTCCAAGGACGAATGAAAGTGCTTTACGTTGTCATTTCTGCTTTAGCCCTGGGTAGCAGCAAACGGTAGGCATTTTGCTTCTCTGATAGGTGGTCAGTTTCTCTTCCTTTGATTAGCAATTTCATAATTATGAATAAGTTTGCACCACTGTAGGCATATTCATTAGACATTACTTTTTCTGAAAGTAGTCATGTTCTTGGCCCAATTTTCTATTGGGTTGTTAATCTTTTTCTTACTGATTTGTCTGTAAGGAAGTCAGCCTTTTGTCTGTTATGGGAATTGTGAATTTTTTTCTTGTATCTTATTTACTTTCTGATTTTGCTTTTATATTTTTGACCACAGAAATGTGCTTATTTTTTTTCCTTTTTTTAAATTTTTTATCTTGGGCTTGGGAAAAAACAGGGGCTTTTTCATAGTAACCAACCAACTTCCCCAGCTTTCTCGAGTTTCTGATGGCTCTACCCTTAGCCAGTGATCCCTTTTCTAGGTTAGACTAACAGGCCTCTATAATTAAGCACCTCCCCAGGCATCATTCTGACTTCTGTGGTGCATGTGCTCACCACTCCCAGCTCCTCCCTGACAATCTGGTACTGGAGGGGGCGGGAGGGGTCATTCTTCCTTGGTGGGGCAATGCTGTGATCCCCTGGAGTGTGAAAAGCTGTAACTTCCTGGTGAAGCAAACAGGCTCCCCAACCCATTAGGCTCAACAATGTCGAATCCCCTTTGCTTTATTTCTTAACATGTAGCTACCTCTGCTAACGCTAACAATGTGAAGGGGAAATAAAGTGTCAGTGGTCATTAATGATGAGGAAAACCAAATTGGTTACCAGTGTTAAAGGGTAGCACTGGTGGTCAGAAAGAACTTAAGTAATGTCAACACAATTCCCGGCTATAGGCTATGATATTTGACGATAGTTTCAACTAAGTCATACCTAAATTATAGTTAAGAGATTTGATATTGCTGCTACTGTAAGTCTGACCCCATCAGCAAATGCCTGCTTTGTTTCGCCAAAAGAAGAACCCTCAGCCTAGTACAGAATTCAGTAGGCCAGGCTGGCTTTTTGAAGCAGAGGTGAAGCTGAACAAATCTCATTAACTGCTTTGAGGACATGACAGTGACAGCTGACAGGAATAAGCCAGGGTGATATAATCCACTTGGACTTTATCGAAGATCATATTCTGCATCGAAGTCTTGTGTTTGAGGTAACTAAGGTACTCTCTTGGGGGGAGAAAACAATAATAAAAATGTTACCAATTTTCTTGGTCACAAAGAGTAATCAGAGATAAATCAATAAAAATTGCCAGACTCCAAAAGAAAATGTTTAAATGATTTTTAAACTGAATTTTCTCAATATTCTCAATGTGCTCTGTGAAAAATTTTAACTTATCTTTCAACTTTATCTCCTTTTTATCTCACATCTGTGAGAGAGCATATAATGTTAGGGTGAACACAGGAATTTAGGTAACTTTCTTTGAAATTTTGAAATCTGTGAAATAACCCAAAATATCATCGTTATGTATTTATAATACAGGAAATTATTTCTCTCTTTTCCTATTTCTATACCTCTCCTTGTCATAAAAATATTGTTTTCAAGCTCATTATGTCTCCATAAAAGTATAAATCAAGGAGAGAGGAAAGCATTAAGTTTGAATTCCATTGCTTTTAGTTGGGAGGTGATCAAAGCCAGTAATGCTATTTGAACACCTTTTCTTTGGCATTCAGAATTGCAGCTTGCTGTTTTCGGGCAATATAACGCTGAAAAACAAGGTTTTAATGATAAAATAGAGGAACAAAGACAAACTACTTTTGTCAATGTCAGTAGGTGAATAGCATTAATCTGTCTTCATTATTGCTATGCCTGCTGTATTATAGAGTGGGAGGATGTGTAATATCTTTACCGTGATCTAAGAGCTAAACACCATGCAGAAACTTAAAGGCAGAACTATCTTTGATCAACAAAGTATGCGGATCATTTCAGTCTGAAATTGCCTTCAGAGGGTTTTGACATCTTCCTGTTAAATGTGAAGACCTTTCACTTTCCCTTATTGTCACCATTTCTCTAGGTTGTAAAGTTTGCTTGATTTTAATACTTAGCACAAGCTTTTTCTCAGTCAAGGAAGAAAACTTCTAAAACAAGAAAACAAGATAATTGGTAGATTATGTTTCCTTTTTGAAATCCTCCAAAGAGATAAAGCTTAATCAAAAATGTAAGTAGGATAAGTACAAAAATGCAACCTACAGTCAGAAGAAAATCTATCATTTTGCTATTAAACCCTCTTTTGAACAGTTACCTTGCTGACCTGTATATTCTTGGTTTCTTTTGGAGATACTACTTTTCCTTTACTTATAAAATCTTGCACATAACCAAATTTGCTAAACTCGACTAATTAAAATTGGCTGCATGCAGAACTGTTAAATGAGGGACATTTGTCTTTGGGTTCTCTCCTATTAGTGTCCCTTCCACGGCATCCAGTGCATACTCTTACTTATCGTATCCCAAAGTGATCAGTGTCTCTTTTCTCACACCCAAACCCCATCCCTCACCTCTGCAACCACCCGCTACTCAGCCTATGTTGCCCACGTTAGTCAGTGGATGCATCAGGCACTGAGTTATTAAATTGAAGAATACAGAGTCATCTTAATTTCATATTCAATCTTCAAATATTATTGATTGTACCCTCTAAATATTTTCTCAGATTTGTCCATTTTACTCCATTACCATATACACTCTCCTAATTATATATATATACAGGGTGTCCTTAAAAATGTGTATACGTATATGCGTGTAAATTCTTTGGTTGCATAACCCATGGATACAGACAATAGTGTGGTAAAGTCCTGGAGCGAGGAGTGGGTGTGGAGTAGAAGGCATCAATGGGGAAAAAGCAGGACATCTGTAATATTTTCAACAATAAAGATAAATAAAAAAAAAAGAAATTTGAAGATCTAAAAAAAGTATATATATTTTAACAGCTGATTCCTATTACATTTTGAAAATGAAATGTATTTTAATAAACACTGCCTTTATGATTATTCAAAGTGTGTATACATTTTTGGGGGACACCTTGTATATATATATTTACATACAGACATATGTACATGTTTACATGTAAATGCTTAGAATGAATCTGTAGACATAAGACACTGTTACCAGTGGTTTCCTCTAGGGAAGAAAACTGGTGGCTGGAAGACCAATGGTGGAAGGACACTTAACCTTTCTTGCCTACCCTTTTGTACCTTTAAAATTTTGAACTATGTGCACGTAGTAACCATTCAAAAAAAAGTAAAAGTGGGCCTAACTCAAATTAATGGTTTAACCGTATGTGTCACTCTTTTCCAGCTTTCTTTCCTCCAAAAGCACACAGCCACCAGATTAATCTTCTTAAAGCTTCACTTTTAACATGTTACTCACATGCTCAAGAAGCTACAGTAGTTTCCTGCTGCCTTCATAGGCGAGCTCAGTATCCTCTGCCTGATCAGCAAAGCTTCTCTCCACATGCTGGCCCAGGTCTTGTCAATGTGCTAATCTTGAAGGCTTTTCTCTCCAACGCACTCTGCCGTCGGGTCATTTTCCTCGCCTTTGCCTCATCTTGCTGTGGACATTTTCATCGTTCTGTGACGGCTTATGTGTGTTGCCCCTTCCTCCTTTCCATTTTTTGAAAGCTTCGATGATTCCTGTTAGATTTTTCATCAAAACCACACAATTTAGCATTCGATTATGTAATGTGCTGATGTTTCCTTCAATTTAATCTTATGTTCTCAACCAAATTAATTTACTCATATGGGAGGTGTGGTGATTAAAGCATATTCCTATTCAAGGAATAAGGGGCAGAGTTCAGCGTTGTTTTCATTGCACTATGACTCCTGTAGCAAGCGTCATCCAGAAATACAGTTGGACCTTCCAGTCAGACTGGGCAGTGGCCAAGACACCTGTGAGAGGGGAAGCTTGTGATGGCAGGACTCATTTCATTCAGTCAGTAAATTGTTATGTAAAGTTTGACATTTTGCAGTTTTTATCTTCTTGGTTTTTTTTTTAATTGCTTTTTCTTATTACAAGAATAATATATGTTCATCTTAGCAAATGTAGATGAGTAAAAAGAATAAAATATAAATCACCTGAGGCCCCATTATCTAGTGACAACTGATTTATTTTGGTGCATATACTTTCTCATATTTTATAAATATATACACAGTGTATGTATACATACAATGTATATTTACAAAACTGGAATCATACCATAGCTACTTTTAAAATTTAAATTTTATATTTTTTACTTTTTAAATTGAGGTAAATTTGATATAACTTATACCTAGTAACATGCATAGGTCTCAGTGTTTAGTGAATTTTTACATAGTACCTACTGTTTTCTAACTTTTTACCACCTAACAATGGAGTGTGAACATTTCCTAGGCACTAAATATGTTTCTACATCATTTTCAATGACTATATGGTAAATTGCAGAATGTGAGGAGACGGTGTTCAGGAAAAAGAGCCTCGAGTTGCATTTTATAAAACATGAGTGAGTGTTCACCAAAATTCTTTTTGTAATTATCTTTTCCTTTTGTTTTCCAGAACATTAAAACATTGTACTGACTGTTCTCAGGATGGAGAATAAAGGAGCAATACTTTTATTTCTGGTCAAGGCTGTCTAGTGTTTGAGGGAATTCACATCACTTTCCTTTTTAATTGTGGTAAAATATACATTGTAACTATTTTAAGTGCACAGTTCAGTGGCATTGAGTGCCTTCACATTGTCGTGCAACCATCACCACCATCCATCTTCAGAATTTTTCTCATTTTCCCAAACAGAAACTTCATACCTATTAAACACTAACTCCTCATTTTACCCTTCCCTGCATTTTTCTTTCTGTCTCAATGAAGTTGACTCCTCAAGGTATCTCTTATGAGTAGAATCACATAGAATTTGTCCTTTTGTGTCTGGCTTATTTCACTTAGCATAATGCCTTCCAGGCTCATCCATGTTGTAGCGTATGTCAGAATTTCCTTCCTTCTTAAGGCTGAATAATATTCCATTGTATGTAAGTACCACATTTTGTTTATCTGTTCCTCTGTCGGTGGACATTGGGTTGCTTCTGCCTTCTGGTTGTTGTGAATAATGATGTTATGAACATGGGTATGCAAATATCTATTCAAGTCCCTGCATTCAAATCTTTTGGGTATATACCCAGAAGTGGAATTACTGGATAATATAGTAATTCCATGTTTAAATTTCTGAGGAATCACCATCCTGTTTTCCGTAGCAGCAATTTTACACAATTTTAAGGCCATTTCCAGTTATTTTAGTAAGGATTTTGTGATACCCAAGTAGGCCTCCACATACCTCATGGAATGTGAAATTTCTAAAACAAAATTACTTTATTAAAACATTCCATACAGAACTTTTAACAAGAGAGGATATATAATAAAGGATTACTAAAAATGGTGCCTCAGTGCTTTATTTCTCTTCAGAAATAAAGCCTTAAAAGAGATGTATATAGGTGGGCTCAATGAAAAAGTGTTTTTTCCCAAGGTGATAACTTATGGGGGGCATTTAAAGGGTTAAAGCAGTTGCAATTTTGTATACCTCACCACTCACCTTCTTCTCTGGATCTTAGACCTGGCCTGCATTTCCTAGGGCCACAGTGAGCTGAAACACACATTCCCTGCACCTACTCCAGGCCAAACACACTCCTGAGTCTGGAGAGAGCTAGCCCAGGAGAAATGGCACAGCAAATCCACCCCTATCATCATACAATTCCCTTTCTCACTTTCGTATTTTATTTCACTATTTTATATGGTTTTATTTGTTTGCATGTTTCTTGTTTGCCTCCCTCCATCAGAATGTAAGCTCCCTAAGAATCCAGACTTGTTTAGCATACCTTTCCTACATTCATGCCAGACACAAAATAAGTCCTTAATAAATATTTTTTGAATGAATAGGTTATCAAATGAATGAAATTTGCTTTCCTAGTCTATTGCCATCTACTCAAACTATTTAAAAAATTCTAAAATATTCTGAACGCTCAGAAAACCACCCTCTATACATATCTAACAAATCCTAAGGTTTTAGCATCTTGCCTCAAATTTTCTTTTGTCACTTAAAAAGAAGGAAAAAGATAAAAATATGTAGGATATGGAGAGGTGGCTCACTTGGGGAGTCTGTAAAAATGGGCAGTCTTTGTTTATCCAGAAGAGGAGTGGTTCATTTGCATTGCTTATATAAACTCAAACTACAAATCCCAGGCAGCACTGCAACAGTTTGGTAGCGGTCTATTATTTTTTTCTTCCGTAAACAGCCAATGAAAGGTAGTTTACACAGGTCTTGGATGACATCTGGTGTATTGGCTGTGTCCAGCCTTAAATCTAGTTAGTGCAGTTTGGAATGTGCTGCTGTAAACCAGATTTAAAACAGGCTTTTACTGTTCATTCGCAGCTCATTGCGTCTCTTGTTTCACGGGCAAGAAGAGCTGATTTAGTGATCTAAATGGATGCAATACTGAATTACAAATTGGATGATACTGAAGATTACTACACGTTACTGGGATGTGATGAACTGTCTTCGGTAAGACAGTGGATAATGCTGTTCTTTTTCACAACAGTACTGCAAGTTTTATTTAAGATTTTAACTTTGAAATTTTAGTCACATTGCCTAAAAGCCTAATCTTGTATTATTTTAAAGCACTTCTGGCTCATAGAAAGTTAAGGATTTAAATGTGCGTTTGGGTCTTAACTTGAATAGTGTCCTCTTGCAATTTTACGGATATTTGTGATTGAATATGTGTATTCTGGCACATGGCCATAGATTCTATTTCAAATACATTAAAAATTGATATTTGAAATTTTGTTTTAATTGCTGTTGGCTGTGTTTCATAGCGTGCATAAGCTATAGCTTTATTAGAGTAATTTATATTATAATTGAGATGAAATGTAATTTTCTAATAATTAGTGATTTTAAAATGTTTTATTAAAAGTACTTTTATGTGAGCAGCTAAATGATACAAACCAAATAGCATCCTTTTATGTTAATATTTCAAATTGTGTGAGATAAATTACTTCTTAAAAGGGCTGCTTCTGATACAAAATGTGACAGTTCTGTACTTTTTCACTTGACCTATAATGGAATAGTGGCTTAAAGATCCCCATAGACAATTATAAAGGTTGTAAAAGGTTTTTAAATCTTGGAAAACTTGTTTATAATTCAACCTCCCAAGGGTAACACTATTAATGTTTGGTATATTAATCTTCAGTCTTTTTCCTGTACATATTTTCAAAGACATGTTTGGGAGGATATTATATGTACTTGTTGATTCCTGCTTTTTACCCACTGACATTATAATAAGGATTTCTCCATGCTATGAAACATTCTTCATACATATTTTAATGATTGCATGATTTTATTTTGCCACAATTGATTGTTCTCTTAATGTTAAATATTTTCTTTATTTCCAGTTTTCAATATTTTAAGTACTGTTGAGATGAATCTGAAATATATTTCAATTATATTATTAAATATATTCATATTATTTTATATTTTATAAATATATATTTAAAATCTATTTTAATACTAAAATATAGCTATTAATATTAAAATATTTTAAAGCAAAATATTTTTCTATTTATTTTTCTTTTATATGGCAGGAGTTTAGTAATAAAATATACTTTGGAGACTAGAATGCCATAGTGGACACAAAGGATTAAAATCTCTATCATCATCACTCTGAGGAGTTTATCTTAGGTACCTTGTAGTTACACACACATACACCCCAGGTTATAATACTCTTTTAGGTGCATATTTCTCCTATAGGATAATATGTTACTCTTGTTTACCTTGGTGGTGATTTTGCTTATAGCAATTGAGAAAGCTTATTACCATTTTTGCCATATGTGTTGTTCACACCTTGGATTCTACTATTGCCAAATAATTTTTGAAGGAACTATTTAAAATCAAAGGAATATAATTGAACTTGATAAGTTTCACAATTGGATTAAAAAATATTATCATGCTAGGTTAAAAAGTAAAGGTTGTTATATCCCCATAATAAATTTTTTGACTGTTTAGTCAGCCTCTTATAGTTATGTTGTCTTTTCAGCTTGCAAAGAAGGAGAATTAATTTTGAATAGACTAGAAAACTGATCCTGTTTATTTATGATGCTTATAACAGTTTAATTTTGTGGTTACCAGTTATAGTCATACTTCTCTGCATATATTGTGGCATATATTGAAAGGAGAATGAAAGCATTGTCTTGACATTCCTTCTGGTTGCGTATTACTGATTCTGTCAATGGCACAGTATGTGTAGATAACAATCATTTATTTAAATGAAATGATTTGGCCCGGCTGGCATGGCTCAGCGGTTGAGAATAGACCTAGGATCCAGGAGATCGCAGTTGGGGTTCCATTCCTGGTCAGGGCACATGCCTGGGTTTCAGGATCGATCCCCAGTAGGGGGTGTGCAGGAGGCAGCCGATCAGTGACTCTCTCATCACTGATATTTCTCTCTCTCTCCCCCTCTTCCTTCCTCTCTCTGAAATCAATAAAGATATGTTTAAAAAGAAAAAAAAAAAGAAAAAATGACCTGGCCCTGGCCAGTTTGGCTCAGTGGTTAGAGTGTTGACCTGCGGACTGAAGGGTCCTGGGTTCGATTTCAGCCAGGGACATCGGTTGCAGGCTTGTCCCGGGCCCTGGTCGGGGCACGCATGGGAGGCAACCAGTCTTTGTGTGTCTCTCATATTGACGTTTCTCTCTCCCTTTCTCTCCCTCTCCCTTCCACTCTCTCTGAAAAGCAATGGAAAAAATATCCTCAGGTGAGGATAAAAAAAAAAAAAAGAAAAGAAGTGAAATGATCTGTTGTAATTTTGTCATTTCTTTTTGTATGTATCCTTCCCATTTAAAAATATTTTATGCCATTTTTGAGTATTTAGTGTGACATTTCCTTTACTTGATTTGTGTTGGATGGATTTCCTTTACTTCAAATATTCCTTGATTTGGTGCTCTAAAAAATTGACCATTAGTCTTCATATCCCCAAACAATTTAGCAGTTATAATTTCAAAGCCACTTGATATTTTCATTCTTATAACAGTTGAGTTGACACACACACATAATTCTTTTGCTTTAGTATATAGTTCTTACAATTTACAGCTTATGTTAGAAATTAATTAAATGACATATATAAACTATGGGAGGATTTCCATGTTGTTGAGTAGAAAACAACATAACCCCCATTTCAAAAACATTTATGAAAGTTTGAGTCCAAGTCAGTCAACTTTTCCTTCTTATATCAGATTTTACACAAAAGACACATGCTATAAAATCTTCTAAAATCCTTAGTGATGCAGACACCACACAGTAGTGATGTAAGACGTTCTTTCTGGTGTGGATCTAATTTGATTTTTTAATATTTTGTCACCATTTTACAGTAATGATAAGATTTCTTGATTTCAGAATTTCATGGACTTTAATATTGAGCATAAACTCATAAAGGGAAACACCTGTTTCTTTTTTCTAGTTCTTTTTCTCATTGACTTCAGACCACCTAGGTTTAAATCATACCATTTACTAGCTGTGTGACCTTGGGAAAATCACTTAACTTTTCTGTGCCTTGGTTTCCTAATCTGCAGTTAGGGATAGTAATAGTACATAGGGTTGTTGTGAGGATTAAGTGAGACATGATATAGAAAGTGCTTAGGCTCAGCCGTGCGTGGCTCAGCGGTTGAGCATCGACCTGGGATCCAGGGGATCAGGGTTCGATTCCCGGTCAGGGCACATGCCAGGGTTGCGGGCTTGATCAATGACTCTCTCATCATTGATGTTTCTGTCTCTCTCTCTCCCTCTCCTTTCCTCTCTCTGATATATTTTAAAAAAAAAAGAAAAGAAAGTGCTTAGAACAGTGCCTGTCACATAGTAAATTGTAGTTGTTGTGGTGTGGGTGTTGTTTTGGTCTCACAGTAATACTTGGAACTTAATTTCCAAAATATATGTTTAATAAGGAAATATGGAGTATGAAGAGAGCACTAAGAAAAATGTTAACCTAGACACTTAATATTTGGGTCTATGACATATGCATACCAATTATGTATACATATACATATGATATGTCTATAATAGTCTGTAAATAAGTACATGAATATACGTATATATTTATATGTATATTTTTATATGTGTTTGAAATCAGACTGCCTGAACTCAAATCCTGGCCACTTACTAGCTGTGTGACCTTGGGAAAATTATGTCTGGTTTTCTAATTTGCAAAATGGGAATGGTAATGATACCCACCTCATAGACTTGTTGAGAGAATTAAAAGAGACGCTGTATGTAAAGTGCTTAGAGTAATACTTGGCACAGAGTAAGTCTCAATACATCTTAGCTATTATTATCATCATTATTACATATGTATATTATATACATATATATGTTACATCATTCCTTTAGAGGTAAAACATGGATTTATACTGCACAAAATGCTTTGTAGGTTACCTTTTCTCATGTGTTATATATTAAATGCATTTTATAAATTATCTCAGATTATTAAAAGTTTTATACTACAAGATGTTTTTAAAAAAAATGTTTTTATTGATTTCAGAGAGAGGAAGGGAAAGGGAGAAAGAGAGAGAAACATCAATTATGAGCGAGTCATTGATTGGCTGCCTCCTGCCTGCCCTCCAGCGGGGAGCGAACCCCACAACCTGGGCATGTTCTTTGACCGGGAATGGAACCATGACCTCCTGGTTCATGGGTCATTGCTCAACCACTGAGCCATGCTGACCAAGCTAAAAGGTGATTTTTTTTAATTACTGTAAAATATTCCAGCCTATGGCTATATTACAATTAACTTTAACAAATATCTTATGATGGACACATAAGTTTTTGTTTACCTTCTTATTACTAAATTCTTTTCCTACCTCTCATTATCTCCTTAGACAAATTCCTTGAATTGGAATTGTTGGATCAAAGAGTATGAAAAAAAATGATATCCCAATTGTTTTCCAAGAAATTTGCACCAGGAGAGCATGAGAACGTTTAGTTCTTTGCACCTTCACTAACACTGATCATTATCTTTCCTTGGATGTTTTGCTTTATTTGAGTACAAGTAAAGTTGAATATTTTTGTATGTTTACTGGCCAAAAGGGTAGGCAGTTTTCCAGACCATTGAACATAGGATCAGGAAGTCAGGATTCAGTGGACCTGAACATGGAGGGCCTCACCTGCCTGTGGGTTGCACTTGACACTGGGCACATGGGGTGGGGATGCCAGGAGATTCATAGAATATGTCCAAAACAAAATAACCCACTTTACCAGTTAGTTTAACCAGAACCAGCTCTATATAAGAGATTTATGATGAACTTTATGAGAGTACAACTGTGAAAAGCAATGAAAGACATATGTGGGCTATTCTTAATTTTAAAAAATATGACACTGGCAAAAATACAGAAAATATAAAGAAGAAACCAGCAATGGCATACTTTAGTGCTACTGAGAATTAACCATTTTGACACATTTGCTTCCAAGGGTTAATACCAGAATGTTTCCTAATGGGATAGGAATAAAAAAATAACAACAATAAAACCCCAAATTTCTACCTTTGATAGATAGGTATGATTTTACCCACTTATGTTATTAAAATCCCCCAAAATATATAGATAGATATATATGTAAAAAATGTGTCTTGAAGGATTTAACCTGTTATCTTGGGGGAGAAGAGGTAAAGAAGCTTTTACTTTTTATTCTGTGTGTATATGTATATGTATATGTATATATATATATTTTTAAATTCTTGACATGTTCATATATATTTTTTTAATATGTCTTTATTGAGTTCAGGGAGAGGAAGGGAGAGGGAGGGAGAGAGGTAGAAACATCAGTGATGAGAGAGTCATTGATCTGCTGCCTCCTGCACGCCCCCCACTGGGGATTGAGCCCGAAACCCAGGCATGTGACCTGACTGGGAATCGAACTGCCGGCCAGGCTTTATTCTGTATTGATAGAAATTTTTTCGAAGAGAGATTGTGAGTAGTCATAAATTACTTGTTAATTATAAAACACTAACCACTAGAATCTTTAGAATGTTTAATATTTTAAAATTGAAAAACAACTTATTTTCTTTGTTATATAAGCAGGTTATGGTGACTGATGGTTAAAGGGAGCACCCAGGAAGAGGAAACAATCGATTACAGTTCTTAACAGGAAGCCTATCTCTTATTATTCCAAGGGGTTCTCAGTAGATGCCTAACAAGGGAGAGAATAAAGTTATTAGCCTGGGTTTTATTCATATGCATGTCTAATACAGTCAGACTGATTATAAAAGTGAAGAAATTTTTTATGAGAACTGGTTGATTAAGAGTGACATGGAGCTGATAAACATGTCTGTCCTCTCATGAATCTTATGGCAATATTGAGCTGAGCTGCTTGAGAATTCATTTCTCAAACAAGAGGTAATTTGCTTTCATTAATTAGTGGATAGTAAATATAGAACTTAATAATAGGTCCCTGATCCTGAACGATGTTTGGATTCCAAGTCCGTCTGCTTAGTTGACAAAAAACTTAGCTCTTTCAGTAACTAGATGAATGACTTCAGACAAATTACTTCACCACTGACATTTAATAATAGTTACTGTTATTGAGCTCTTACTATAGTCAGGCTTTGTGTTAAGTGCTCTAATTACATTATTCGTGTAATGTAAAGATGAGGAAACCTAGGCACTTAGAAGTTTTATAACTTGTCTAAAGTCCCAGGGTAGAACTGGGATTTAAAACGAAGCAATCAGATTCCAGAGCCACATAATCACTGTTGTCTCCTGCTGCTGTCATTACAATTATGATTAATAAAGCCAAGTCTTGATTATTCCTGATGATAATAAGGATGAGATGGGTGAGTGAAATAAAATAAAATCATAGAGGACCTTCAAATATAATTCTAGTTTGGGCTGAAGTTTCTGTTTTCCCAGTCAAAATATCTAACCATGCTGTTAATTGGTAGCAAAGTGACCAGGTTTGAATTATGTCCTTTTAAAAAAAATTGTGAAATTCTTAATAAAACTGAAAAGGACCAAAAGGAGGAACTTTATAGTGGATAATTTATAAACTGGATAGTCATCCCTGAATAATGAATGGTGGCTAAGCATCTTTTGAAGAACTTAGATGTGTGAACACATCTTTTATACATTCTTAGGGTAAACCTGTCTGACCTTTTTTGACACTTAAATATATTGAGCTCATAGATGTCTTGGGCCATCATCTAAATACAGTAACAAGTTAAATTGTTATCACAGATCATTATTTGCATAGGGGCTTTTATTGGATACTTTCTGAATTTTGTTATTGATGAAATTATTTCTTAGAGTAAAATGTCAAAATACAAATATAAAGATCAAAATGAAAAGTTGGGTTGATCATGGCTGTTTTGGGAAGGACTGATGTTCAACTTCTGGACTCTATTTTAAATATTCATTTTTGTTTTAGGTTGAACAAATCCTGGCAGAATTTAAGGTCAGAGCCCTGGAATGTCACCCTGACAAGCATCCTGAAAACTCCAAAGCGGGTAGGTATTTAATAGCTGTTTCTCATGAAAATGAATAGCCTATAGAACTAAAAAGCCATTGAATAGTAACTTAATTTTTTTCTCTTATTATTTTTTATATTTATTTATTTATTTATTTATTTATTTATTTATTTATTTATTTATTTATTTATATCTTTATTGATTTCAGAGAGAGGAAAGGAAGGGGGGAGAGAGAGAGATAGAAACATCAATGATGAGAGAGTCATTGATCGAGCCCACAACCCGGGCATGTGCCCTGACCAGGAATCAAACCCTGATCGCTTGGATCCCAGGTTGATGCTCAACCGCTGAGCCACACCCTGCCAGGCTCTCTTTGTTATTTAAAAAAAATATATATCTTTATTGATTTCAGGGAGAGGAAAGGAGAGGGGGAGAGAGAGAGAGAGAGAGAGAGAAACATCAATATTGGGAGAGTCATTGATCGGCTGCCTTCTGGGAATCGAGCCGCAACCCAGGCATATGCCTTGACCAGGAATTGAACTGAGATCTCCTGTATCCTAGGTCGATGCTCAACTGCTGAGCCACATCCGGCCGGGCTTCTCTCTTGTTCTTAAACTTACTCTTTCATTCAATGCCAAAAAATGTTTTTGTACCATTGGATGGTAGAAGGGGAGGGAAAAGTGTAGGGTCTTTTCTCTAACAGTAGTAATTTAACATGCATTTTTCTTTCTGCTGTAATGTGCTGCCTCATGGTTTCAAATATGCCCAGTTTATGTCTGTTTCACCAGCGGAGTGTTAATGTAAGTATGTTTGTAACCAGAAGGTTGTCTTGATGAGAACCTTGCTGTGTTCTCTTCATTTCAGGGACCCGAATATGTCCATGTATGATATATGTCCATATGCATGATAATATATTCATACTTTTGTTTTTTCCTTTATGATAACTTAAATTCCATTATCATAAATTTAGACATAGATGCTTATGTCTATCTTAGCCTGAAAAACTACTAACAAACTAATCATCCTTCCTTAACCCGTCTCCCTCCTGCTGCTCTTCTATCTTCCTCCTTCCCTTTAGAGCCCAACTTTCTGAAAAAGCAGTCCACAGCTGATTTCTCTACGTCGTTGCCACCCAGTTTTTCATTTATCCCAGCCTGACTTCCTCCTCACCTTTCTTGGGAACTGCTCTTGTAATGCTCACCAAGGACTTCTTGGCTGCAAGTCCAATGGTTGCCTTTCTGGCTTTATCTTCCCCGAGCTTGCATCAGAATTTGGCACTGTTGATCGTGCTCTCTTTCTTGAAACACTCTTTTCTCTTAGCAGCCACCTGTGCACTCATGCTTTTCCTCCAGCTTCTTAAGCTGTTCTTTCTGTCTCCTCTGTGGGTCCTTCTCTGCTGCCCTCAGGGTTCCCTCTCAGACTTTCCTCTGGGCTTACTCCCTACTTTCTCTGGAGTCTTGTGTAAGTCTGTGGCTCCAGTCATCAGCTCTTCGTTGATGGTTCCCAAACCTATCCTCAACTTAGTTCTCATTCCTCATTTTCAGACTGTGGTTTTGACCGCTTCTTGGAAATCTCTATTTGAGGACATTTCAAAGTCACCCTGTCAAAAACTGGACTGATTCTCCTCTCACCCTCTCTGAAACCTCATTCATATTTTTATGTTTCCCCATCTCAATAAATGGAACCACCATCCCTTTAGTTGGCCACGCAAAAGCCTTGCCTCCCTCCTCTTCACATCGGGCCGATGCTGGTGATTTGCCTTCTACAACTCTCTCTTCTTCCCTCCATCCTCACAGCCACTACAGTAGCTCACCATCATTTCATGCCTGGATCCTTCCAGCACTCCTTCAGTTGCTTCACACTGGAGATAGTGATCTTTTTAGTTACGGGAAAAATGAAAGATTTAATATGTATAAAGAATACCCAAACTGCCCTGGTCAGTTTTGCTCAGTGGTTAGAGAGTCAGCCCTCAGACTGAAGGGTCTTGGGTTCAGTTCTGGTCAAGGGCACATACCTCGGTTGTAGGCTCCATCCCCAGCCCTGGTTGTGGTGCATATGGGATGTAACCAATCAGTGTGTCTCTCTTACATGGATATTTCTCTTGTTGTCTCTCTCCCTTCCACTTTCTCTGAAAACCAATGGAAAAAATATCCTCAAGTGAGGATTAAAAAAAAAAAAGAGTACTCAGACAAATGCCCATATAATGTACCACCCAGCTTAAAACTTTACTTATGCACTTAAAGTCTCTTGTGTATTCATATCCTGATTTTATTCTCAGGGTAGGAAATATTATCTTAAATTTGATGATTATGTTTGCTATATGTGTATACTATAGTCATGTATATAGTATTTGTATATGTATGTGTATATGCATGATTTTTCTGTAAGGAAAATATTATGATTAAGACCTGTCTATAACTTCACATTGCACAAATGATAAAACTGAAACTCCTCTTCATTAAAAAATGTTGCCCTCCCTGGGACCTGACATGCCAGGGAAGAGGCCCTGAGTTCTTTCTGCACTTAGCACCTGTGATTGTTGGGGCGTGGGTGGTTATGGGCAAGAGTGTGTGTGAGTGCACAGGTGTTAAGGAGCTGTGTGTTGCTCATGTTCTGATTTTGGGGAATTTGACTACACTTGGGGTTGGTCCATATAGTTACTTTTGTCATCATAATTTCACTCCTAACTGTCATATTTTTATCAAATGCATGAATAAATATATAAAGATTGGTACAAAAATGTTTCCCTTATCTTAAAGCTCTTTATTAATCTTTTCTAGAAATCATTGATCCCTTTGATTTGTATAAACAGATCATTTTCCAATATAGGAAGTCATTATTTTTGTTCAATACTTAACTATTACTTTTGATTCCCCCCTCTTCTTATTAAGGCATAATTTGTTTAAGGGACCGTGAACAAATCATAAGTGTAAACTTGATAAATTTGTGTCTGTGTTATAACTGGTTTAACCACTGCCCAGATGAAGATGCAGAACACTTGCAGCACCCAACAGTCCTTTTTCATGTCCTGTTCAGAGTCAGCACCCCCTCCCATTTGTGGATCTCTGTTGTTATTGATTAGTTTTGCCTGTTTTCAAATTTCATATAAATGGGATCATACCATATGTACTCTTTTGTGTGTGGTCTCTTTTGGTTTACATTGTGTCTGTGGTATTGACCCACATTGCACATGTAGCAATAGTTCACTCTTTATCGTTGCTGGGTCTTTAGGTACAAAACCCCTCATGTTGTGCCCTTCCCCCATCTCTCCATTTTCATTTTCTCTCCACCAGCAGGCCTACAAGTCTATGTTTTAGCCACTCAGAACTATTTTGGTTCCATAAGGTGCTCTGCTTTCTACTCTTCAGATCTTAATGCCTGCTGCTTCCTCTGCCTGGAACACCCCCGAAGCCTATGCACCTCCCTGCCCTGCTTTGATTGGCTAGATCATGCTCCTGCATCAGGTCTCAGCTCAGCCATCACTTCCTTTAGGAAGTCATGTGACTTCCAGGGCACTGTATGTCAGGCAGCAAACTGTGTATCAGACCATCCACTTGTTGCCTGTTTGCTTATTAGTCATACTGGAAATTCAGTGAGGCAGGCCTCTCGCTTCCCTTGTTCAGAGTGGTGTGCCCCAGCACCTACCACAGGGACATCCACTTTGTACAAACAGTAATCTCTGTAGTGAGTGAATGAATTGATGAACATTTCTTTAGGAGACATTAATTACTTCTCTGAACTGGAGTTAATATTAAAATAGATGTCCTAGCATAACAGTATAAACATTTGATAAACACTTAAAAACAACTACCAGCCCCAGGTTATTCTTTAACTGAATTTTTTTTTTTTTCCAATGAAGCGTGGCTTTGAGTTTCTCTTTGTCCCTGGCAAACAGTTTCTATTTGGGATATATGATGAACCACTGTGTAATCATTGCCATTTATAGTTGCCACAGTGATGGAAGTTTTCATGTACCAGCTACCTCAGGCTTCTTGTTCAGAGAAACACTGGACTGTGTAAATATTGCTTAAAGTGAAAAGGAATGCAGTTATCAGTACCTTTCCTTGTCAGTCTTGCAGTCGATAGATGATTAATCCTTTGGGTAGAAATAGTTTTCAAATCTGTCTAAGCATTCATTTTACTCAATTTGGATGAATAAGACTTTGTGAAAATTTAAGTGGGTCTTTATATACTTGGAGAAAGATTAACGTACCTGATAAAAAATATTTTAAAATGTTAAACAAAAATTCACCCAGGTGCTAACTTTTAGCTTGGCAGAAATCCAGAATACACTGGAAAGATTTTGAAACGTATTTCATTAAAGTGAAAGGCTAGACTGCAGAGCAACTGCAGGTAGGAGAAATTAAACTCATATATGTACCTTTTTGGTCCACTAAATGTAGTCTCAACCATTGCCATTGAAATTACTGATTTGTTAGCATGATGGAGTAGTGGATATGAACACAGGCTTGTCTGACTGGATTGCTCCTAGTTCCTACTTCCAAACTAGCTGACCTTGGGCAACTTCTCTGGGCCTCAGCATTCTCATAGGTAAAGTGTCCTACTTGAGGGTAGAGCTCAATGAATGTTGGCAATTATGATTCAGTGGACTTTCTTGTTTTTATGCAAGAAAATATAAATATTTAACAAAATGGGATAGTTTTCTTTTTTGTAAGTAACCATTAGAACTTTCTTGATTTCATTAAAAAAAATTTCTAAATCTAAGGCTTTTGGAAATCCCTTCTCCTCTCCAGGTGTGGGTGCTGGAGGCAGGACTGGTTATGCTGTAGAAATTTTGTCACTGAGCTCAACATATCCTGGCTGCTGTTCTTGCCAGTCCTGTGTGTGCGCGTGACAGTAACTGTTTCAGGTCAATGCTTTTAAAACTCTTCGACCCTGAAGAAAGGGGTCAAAGGTTTTATAAAACAGTGTTTTTGTTATTGATTTGCAGGCTTCAAAGACATAGGGATATTTGAAGAGGGGCCGCTCTTTGTTCCTTGCTGTGTCCCAAAGATATGTCAACATATCTTTGAATGCCT